CTCCTCCTCCTCCTCCTCCTCCTCCTCCTCCTCCGCCCTCCTCCGCCCTCCTCTCCCTCCTCCTGGCCGAGCCAGGCCTCCGAGCCAGGCCGGGCCGGCGCGCCGGGCAGGCCGAGGCGGGCGGGCGGCGGCGACAGCGGCGAGCCAGCGGCGGCGCCGGCCAGTGCGGCGGACGACGGGAGCAGCGGCGGCGACGACGACGAGAAGACAGACCCAGAGATCCAACGCATTGAACAAATCAAGGCGGAGGTTTTTCGCAAATTTCGGCCCCTAGGGGGCCCTCGCAGGGCCTCGGGACCGTCAAAAAACGACTCAGGATGAAAAACCGGTCCTGGGGAATAGGTCGAGATATCCGGGGATCGCGTATCGAAAAAATCACGTCCTTTTAAATATTTTTTGGACCGTCTGGGGGCCCTTTTCGGCCGTCCAGGGTCCCTCTTGGCCCGTCATGGAGGGCTGAGCGTCTTGGGGCCCTCTTGGGGCCCTCTCCGACCATGGTTAGGGATCGTCCGGTTGCCCCCTCCTCGGGGTTCCCTGGGGACTCTCTTGGACCGTCTTGGAGCTCTCTTGTGCTGCTTGAAGCTCTTTTCAGGTCGTCATGGGGCCCTCTTGGAAGTTTCGTGGGCCGTCTGGGACCGATTTTGGGAGCATTTGGGGCCGTCGTGGCAGCTGTTAGGATTGGAAAAACGAATATCCTGAAAATATGCGTTTTTCCATGGGACATGATGAATTGTTGCCCTTGGGGGGCCCTCTCGGCGACCTTTCGGACCGTCATGAGGGCCTTCGTGGCCGTCAAGGAGCAGTCTTGGGCTGTTTTGGAGCGGGGCCCTCGTGACGCCATCGCAGTGCGCTCTTCCGCCATCTTCCAAGCAACTTGGGGCGCTTCTTGGGCCAGCCTGGGGGCCTCTGGGGGGTTCGGGGCCCCTCCTGGGCCCGGATGCAGCCTTCAGGGCCCCGCCCGGGCCCCCATGCAAACCAGTGGTCGCGGCTCCGGGCTCCCCCCCGCCTACTCCGATAGATCGATATATATATATATATATATATATATATTATATATATAGAATATAATCATTATACACACACATTCTAGAACCATCGCGCGCGCTTCGCGCTGTGCTCAGGTTCTTAAGCCCAGGGGGGGGCGCTTGCTTGGGAAGATCTTGGACAAGCAGCGCTTATCAAGCACAGGTTCCGGTTCTTAAGCGTGACATAGTCGTGCCTCCTGAGGGCCTCTTGGGAACCTCTTGGGTCTTCGTGGGGGCATCTGAACGGCTTTGGGGGTTGGTGGGTTCTCCGTGCTTCCTCAGTTGGCTGTTGGATGCACCTCTTGGGTGCTTATTGGGGGGGCGTCTTGGGGTCCCTTGGGGGCATCGCAGTCGGAAGGTGATGTTCTGCAATTGAGGCCGTCATTGGCTGTCTTGGCTGCGTGGAGGCCCGACTTGAGGCCACCTGGGGCCACATTGAGGCAATCCAGAAGCCTTCTGGGTGCCCCTCCTGGAGGCAATTTAATGTATCGAGGGCACTGTTCGGCTATCTTGGGGCCCCGTGTACGTCTCCTGGGCGCCTTTGAGAGCTTCTTGGGAAGCGTTTGGGGGCCTCGTCGGACCACTTGGGGACTCTTGGGGCCTCCTGTGGACCTCTTATGGCGGAAGGCGCTGCTGCTGGGTTCGCGTTCCCCTTCTTGGGCCTCTCTTAGGGCCCACTCGGGCCGTCTTGGGCGCCTTCACCACCGTTTTGGGGCCCTCGTGGGTACCTTTTCGGGCCCAAGACGACCCCAAGACGGGCCAAGAGGGCCCCACGAGGTCCCGAAGACGGTCCAAGAGGGCCCCGAGTCGCCGAGCGATCGTTCCAAGACGCTCAAGATGGCCCCCAGGCGGCCCAAGAGGCCTCCAAGACGGCCCAAGAGGCCTCCAAGAAGCCTCCCAAGAGGCCAAACTCATGCATTATCAATCGGTTTCTGAAAATGTGCGTTGGCGCTCTCGCCTTTTCGGCTTCCCGACGCTCCCAGACGGCCCTAGAGGCCCCCAAGATCGCCCCAAGACGGCCCAAGAGGCCTCCACGGGGGCCCCCAAACGGCCCAGGAGGGCCCCCAAAGACGGCCCAAGAGGCCTCCAAGACGGCTCCGAGAGGGGGACCAGAAGGGGGACCCGAATGGACATTCGAGCCATCGACCCCGAGGGGCCCCCAGGAGGCCCCAAGAGGCCCCCAAGAGGCCCCCAAGAGGCCCTAATAGGCCCCCAAGAGGCCCCCAAGAGGCCTCCAAGAGGCCCCCAAACTGCTTTCAAAAGGCCACCGAGAGCGCTCCGAAGAGACTCCACGAAGCATCCCCGAGAACTCTGACCCACAACCCCGGCACGATGGCAGAAGGGCCGAAGGCCTTTAAATGCTTCACTAACCATCGGAAAATCTATGATTTTCGGCTTCTGGGGCCTTTTGGAAGTCTTGGGGGCCTCTTCGGCCGTCTTGGCGAGTTGAGCCATGAAATTGTGAGAAAGCCAAAAATTAACGATTTTAGGTTCTCCGGACGCTCTCGGAAGGCATCTCGGAGCTCTCTTGAGGTCTCTTGGAGGACTCATGGGAGCCTGGAGAGCCGCCCGAAATCTATCCTGGGTTGCTTGGGAGCGTCTTGGGCAATTCTTTTTGTTCTGGGGGCTTCCTGGGGTCGTCTTGGACTGTCTTTGGGCAGGGGGCTACCCAGGAGGCCAGGAAGCGCGGTACCGGGAGCGTACACCAGATGTGAGCGAGATGGAGGTCGCCCCAGGAGGGGGCCCAGCCTATTATCTCTCTATATATACATATATATACACATATATATATACATACATATATACACATACACACACATACCTATATATGTATGTATATACATACACATATATATATATATGTATAGATTTGTGTGTATGTGTATTCGTGTTGGTTCTGCTCTTGTCCTCCTTCTCCTCCTCCGCCTCCGCCTCCGCCTCCGCCTCCGCCTCCGCCTCCTCCTCCTCCTCCTCCTCCTCCGCCTCCTCCTCCTCCTCCTCCTCCTCCTCGCCTCCTCATCTCCTCTCCGCCTCCTCATCCTCCGCCGCTCCTCCTTCTCTCCTCCTCCTTTCACTCCTCCTCCTCCCTCCTCTCCTGCCTCACTCCTCCTCCTCCTCCTCTCCTCCTCCTCCTCCTCTCTCTCCTCCTCCTCCTCCTCCTCCTCCTCCTCCTCCTCCTCCTCCCCCCCGCCCACAGGTCCACGACGACCACCACGCGACGAGCAGCGGCATCTGGGGAAACGACAGGGCACCGGTGCGGCGATTCCCCCCGACCTCTCCCGGGACACGCTGCGACCCGCGACCTCGGGGCGGAGGCGGCCGTGGCGACATGGGAGCCGGCGGCGGCAGCGGCACCTCCCTCCCTCCCTCCTGGGAGGGCCGGGGCAGACAGCGGCGGCTCTCCGGCACGGCCCACCTCCGCTCAGCATCGGTGCTCACAGACCCCTCCGGGGGTCCAGGCGGAGGAGGCGGAGGAGGCGGGGGAGGCGGCGGAGGCGGAGGCGGAGGCGGAGGAGGCGGAGGCGGAGGAGGCGGAGGAGGAGGAGGAGGAGGAGGATGGAGGAGGAGCGGGTGACGCCAGGGAGGGCCGCCGCTGTCTCGGCAGGCCCTCCCCTGAACATTTTGCTGCCTCGCCGGAGCTTCGGGGGAGGCTCCCGGAAGTTGCCCGCGTTGGGCAACCCGGCAACCCCCGCAGCAGCAGCTGAAGGAAGAGGAGGAGCAGGAGGAGGGGGAAGGAGAGGAGGGGGAGAGAGCGAGAGGAGAGGGGGGGAGTAGGAGGAGGAGGAGGAGAGGAGGAGGAGGAGGATGAGGAGAGGAGGAGGAGAAAAGGAAGAGGAGGAGGGAGGAGGCGGAGGAGGAGGGGGTGAGGAAGAGGCTGGGGAGGCTCCTGGAAATTGGCCGCGTCGGGCGACCCCCGCAGCAACAACTCCAGGTCGTGCGCCGTGCACAGCGCGAGGGAGGGCCCGTCCATGCACCGCAATGCGGCCTGCACGAAAGCCTCCACCTGGCCAGAACGAGGGAAAGGGGAACTACAGGGGGGAGGGGGAGGAGGAGGAGGAGGAGGAGGAGGAGGAGGAGGAGGAGGAGGAGGAGGAGGAGGAGGAGGAGGAGGAGGAGGATGTGGAGGGAGGAGGAGGAGGAGGAGGAGAAGGACGTCGTAGTGAGGATCTGGGGAGGAGGAGGAGGAAACTGCGAGGAGGGAAGGGCGACGGAGGAGGAGCGACCGTGGCCGAGCAAGAGAAGGCCAAGAGAAGGGCGGACAAGCGAAGGAAGACAATCTTGAAGAGAAAACCGAAGACAAACAGCATTGAGATGATGAAGCCCGCTGCCCTTCAAGAGGACGAGGAGGAATAATGATAAAAATGCGAATGAGCAGAAACATAGTACTACCAATAAGAGTAACAAGAAGAGGAGGCCAGGAGGGAACGTGGAGGAGTGTGGAGGCGGAACACAGGGTGTCCAAGATACACCAACGATGCTGCATCACGCCCTCCCTTCTCCACGACGCGCGCATTCCACGATGCGCGCGTTGTTGCCGACGGCGCCAGGAACGCGTCGCCAGTGCCACTCGACCCTCTTGGGTTCGAACAAACATTTGCCGAGCGCGACCAGTTCAGCGTGGCCAAGGCCCATGTCGACGACGCAATTCCTGCACCACTTCCCCACCTGGGGCATGTCGAGGGGAGGCGATGACCACGGCGAACGGCCCGCATTGGTAGGTGAGCACCCTAATGCCCGTTGTCCACGCAGATCTTGCATGAGGTACAAGATTTAGCTGTCAATCCACTCTTGAAAACTTCGCAATTCTTCTCGCGCGCGACATCGCAACGTTTCTTACCGTGGCTGGCGCGCGGAGAAGTGTCGCGATTGCCAGGGGTACGGGCCGAAAACGACCTCCACTGCGTAGCGCTCGTCCGCAGCATCTCCTGGCAATGCCGAACCCGCGACTGCCTCGTCGCCTCGAGCGGTCGAACCATGCGCAGCACGCAGGCACGACCTGGCTGGTCGCCTTCCAGCTTGAGCTCTTCAAACTTGTAACTGCTCGCGTCCACGCATTCCGCGGTAGCCTCCTCCGCGCGCGCGCACGGACATCTCCGCGCGAGCCGGGACTGTAAATCTGCTAGGGCCCATCTGCCTGTCCGATCCCGCAGTCCTGGTCATCTGAACTTTAGGACGGGCGGTTTTGGCAAAGTTGAGCTCCTTTTCCAGGCGGCCGACACGAACAACCAACTGTGCTTCAATACCCTCCAGCGTCGCCACCCGTGCATACAACCAGTCCTCCCGAGCATTGATAACAGAAGAACTTCGTGGAGACCATCGCGTCGAACTTGTCGAAGGTGGGCTCGGTCGCGGCGGCCAAAGCACCTGGCAGGTGCACCTCCGAGCTCGGACTACATACCTTAGACATCTCAGCCATGCGCCGCTCCTGGAACCCTTGGATCATCGCATCATGGACAATATTTTTGCATCTGCGAGCGCACCATCCCAGAAGACCGCGGGTTCAGCGCAGAAATACCACGGGAAGCATCAGTGGAATGCTGTGGTGGCTCGACGGGAATGCCAGAAGCCACCGAAAGAGCACCCTGAGCGGCTTCACCAGCAACGCGAGGAACTTCCTCAAGGGCGACATCGACCACCATACTCCAGATTTCGTAATAAAGTGAGGGGGTCTCATTTCGGGGGGGGTCTCTTCCAGGCTATCTTGGAGGGCCTGGGGGGGTCTGGGGACGATGTTTTGGAGGGTTCTCCCACGGGGGAGGTCTGAAATGCCTTGTCTTGGAGGGTCCAGACCCCTCCCTTTTATTACGAAATCTGGAGTACGTTCAGCGTCATCAGCATGCACCGGTGCAGAGTGATCTTCATCAGGTCCACGTGCGGGGCGGGCAGCACTGCTGCCACCACCATGCCCAGGACCAGGCAGGAGGCGGGCAACATCGGGAGGACGAGAAGCGGAGATGGGGAACAGGAGCGGGAGGACGAAAAGCAGCAGCGGATCAGCCGGAAGGGGGGGGGAGGAGGTCGAGCGAGGTGGCGCGAGGAGGAGCCGAGGACGAGGCGAGCAGGGGGGACCGGGGACGAAGAGCGAGGAGGACGAGGAGGCGAGGACGAGCGAGGACGAGGCGCGAGGGGCGGGAGGCGGGGCACCGGGAGCAAGCAGGGCGGCAGCGACGACGACGGGGAGCCGCCTGCGCCCGGGCGCCGCCGAGCAGCGCGGCCTCCGCGTAGGCGGCCGCGAAGCGCCCGAGGTCGGCAGCCCCGACCGGCGCGTCGGGGTCTCCAGCGCCCCGGGAGAGGTCGAAGTCCTCCTTCTTGCGGGGTGCGGCGAGGGGTGGGGAGCGTCCTCCCTCCTCCTCCCTCGTCCCTCCTCCCTCCTCCCTCCCTCCTCGTTCCTCTCTCTTTTCCCTCCTCGTGCCTCCCTCCTCCCTGCTCCCTCCCCCATCCTCCCTGCTTCTCGTCCTTCTCTGTTTCCCCAGAGCCTAAGTCACTGAAGCAACGGCCGCGCACAGAATGATAAGAAAGTGCCCAATACCTGGAGAGCTTTGTCCAAAACCATGGTCTCAGCAAGGAGCGAGGAGACAGGACCACGAATAAACGTTCCAGCGATCAAGAAAAGGCTGCGCACCTGAGCCGGACCACGCACACGTCAAGTCTCTATGCACCATCCGACCTCCTGCTCCCTTCCTCCACCCCTTCGTCTTTACGCTGCACCGACGTTGGCCGGATGGCCGTTGCGTCAGTCCCTCCCTCCCTCCTCGCCCTGCACGGTTTCCCCCGGGGCCGAAGGCGACCCGAGGAGGAGCAGAAAGAGGAGGAGGAGGAGGAGGAGGAGGAGGAGGAGGTGGAGGTGGAGGAAGGGGAGGGGGAGGAGAAGATGGAGGAGGAGGAGGAGGAGGAGGAGGAGGAGGAGGAGGAGGAGGAGGAGGAGGAGGAGGAGGAGGAGGAGGAGGACGGGTCGCCTAAGCCCTTCGGAGAAACCCTCCACCTCGCCCCTGTCCTCGTCCTCGTCCTCCCCCCGCCTTCTCCTCCTCTCCCTCCTTCCCCTTCCCCCCCCCCGTGCGCGCGCGCTCCCGCTGGCGTGCCAGCGCGCGCGCATACAAAGGGGGGGATTTTTTTTTTGTTTTTGAAACTTTGTGGGCCCTGGAAACGACAGGGCCGTTTTTTTACCGGTTCCGTTTTACCGTTTTTAACCGGTTCCGACGCCGTTTTTGTTACCGGTTCCGTCGCTGTTTTTTGACCGGTTCCGGCTCCGGTTCCAATCCTGGAGCCGTTTTTTTGCCGTTTCCGTTCGCCGTTTTTTGCCGTTTTCATTTTCAAAAGACATTTTTTCTGGAAGCGGTGAAAAAACGGCCCTGCCGCTTCCGGGGCCCAAAGAGGCCGGGCCGTGTCGTCAGGGTGCGCGACAAGGATGCAAAGGGCCTCGGAAGGCCATGCCGAAGCTTTTCGAGCGGGGCGCGGCCAGCATAAAGTAGCCAAGCATGGGCCGAACGGGCCAAAGGTTGCCCCCGCCCTTACTGTGCGGGCTGACTGTAAGAGTGGGCCATGCAGCCTGGAGGCCTCGTCGCCACGGCCATGATCTCCGCGCACTTTTCGCCGATGTGGATCGAACAGCCTCCCTGCGAGGCTCCGGCTCCAGAGCCCTGCTCCCGAGAGGGAGCTGGGCTCATGCTCTTGTGCCCCTGGACCCGTTTTGCGGAACGGGAAAATGACCACAGCCACTGCTTCTTGTTTGCGCCGCCTTCCAGCCGGCCGAAAAAGAGGCAGTGGTTGTGGTCATTTCCCTGGTGCCAGGCTCAACGAACATGACCACAACCACTGCTTTGTTTCTGCTGGCTGGAAGACGGCAACAAAAGAAAATCAGTGGCTGTGGTCGTTTTCACGTCCCGTGCGCACCATAAGGATGCGCGATGATAAGGATGCAGGGGCCTTGGAAGGCCATGTCGAAGCTTTTCGAGCGGGCCGCGGCCAGCAAAAAGTGGCCAAGGATGGGCCGACGGGGCAAGTATGCAAGGGTACCCTTGGGAGGCTGCCCGTCCTTGCTATGCGGGTTGACTGTGAGAGGGGGCCATCCAACCTGGGAGACCGCTCATTGCAGCAGCCATGATATCCGCGCACTTTTCGCTGACGCGGACCGAACATTCCCCGAAGACTGTGGAGACCACCCGGATGAACTATCGAAGACCTGAAACGGGAAAGAGGTGCAGCGGTGAATGCCCAGTGGCGCCACTGGACCGGAAGTTTTGAGATTGAGGTGGGGCAATCACAGCCCTAGAGATCCGCAGGCACACGAACACAACCACACACACACACACACACACACATCGGGAGCGGCCAAGAGGGGGGTGTCCAAAAGAGGGGGGTGCAAATCATGACCGGCGGCATGTGCGCGGCCTAGCGGGGGGGCCAGGGACGTAATGAAATAAGAAGAGGCGCCACGAAATCTGGGGAAATATCATGGCCCCCGCCATGATATCCTCCCCCCTAGTCATCACCCCCCTCTTTGCCGCCCCCTAGAACACACATACACATACACACACACACCTGGTCCTCCCCCCCGCCGATGCTGTTCCTCTGGAGCGCAACCCCCGTCGACCTGAGCCACCGCGCGGAGGAGGAGGTGGAGGAGGAGGAGGAAGAGGGGATCGAGGAGACGCAGGAGGAGGAGGAGGAGTATACAGGAAGATGGGGGAGGAGGAGGAGGAGGAGGAGGAGGAGGAGGAGCAGGAGGAGGAGGAGGAGCAGGAGGAGGAGAAGTTCTGGACCCCTGGGGGCCTCGGTCGCCCAGCACGTCCTCGGAGAACCGCCCGGGCCCCAGACCGTGCGGTGGCTCCGGAGCCCCACGGACTCACCACACGGTGTGGTCACCGCCCCGTCTGGCCCCTTCTCGGGCGGATGCAGTCAACCCGCAGAATGAGGATGCGCGATCCAGTGAAAACGTATAGTAAGGGCGCGTGGTAAGGACGCAAGACCCTTGGAGGCCGAAGTTGAAGTATTCTGGCCTGCGAAAATTGCTGTGGACGGGCCGCAGAGGCTGACGCAGGCAAGGACCCAAGGGTACCCTTGAAAAAATCGTTTGTCCTTACTATGCGCGTTGACTGTAAGGATGCAAGGCCATTGGACGCCCATTTCCAAGCGTTTCGAGCGGGGCGCGGCCAACGAAAGTGTCCAATGATGGACCCAGGAAGCAAGGATGCAAGGGTACCCTTGGGAAGGCTGCCCATGCTCATTCTGCTGGTTGACCGTAGGCCAATCGACTTGGCAGTGGCAGGGTGGGGTTTCAATCTATCGGGGGCACGGCGACCCCGGTAATTACCCGACTTTGTGAGATTTCCGGCTGGACCAAACTTGAGCCCAACTTGGGGATATACGATGGGGGGGCACCCATCCTCGATCCCCTGGGCTGGAATAAGATATGGGACCTGCTCTAGAACACAAGGAATGTAGTAGACGGGTTCTACCCATGCCCCGACCTTGCACAGCACCGCACGCAACGGCCGCGCTGTCCGTAGACGCATCAACCCCGAGTGTGTTTATATACGTGACGACACTCAATGTGTCTACAGCAGACGCTGGCGGCTAGAAAACGAGAGCCGCACTCATCGTAGGCCCATTATCTTGTCTCCTCGAACCAGGTCGAATTTGCCCTCCAACCCGGAATTCTTCTAATCGACCACCTTCCCAGGACGAGAAACCGCCCCCGGAGCCCGAAAACGTTGGAAAAACTTGGAACCCGTTTCCCTCAGGACCAGTTTGCTTCATATGACGATTTGCGCTCACTGCTAGCTTAGGTCGGGCATGTCCTCCCATAGGCGGTCTTTGGACGAAAGATAAAACAGCTGCAAAGCATACACAACAATAGGCAAACATGATAGGTCAAAAAATCGTCCCCAAACCACGTGTGGACTATTTCTGCATATTCCTCCTGTAGAGGGACATGCCCGACTCAAGGCTCACTCTTCCCCCCGCGCGTCCTTTTTTTTGATTCGCGGGTCGAGAGCGCATCTCTTCTGGTCGAAGCGAAGCGGGCCGCGCGAAGCTTGAACTAACAAAGAGGGGGGGACAACTTCCTCCCGCGCGTCCTCGCTGCCGGGCAGGCGCACTCTCCAGGTGAGGCCCAGCGCGGACGCGTCGCTCGTGCCCCCCAGGCTCGCGAGCGACCTGTGCAGCGTGGGGTGCACGAGGCGCAGCTCGTCCATCCCGGCGGACACCGACCTGAAGGCCGGCGCGAGGCGGCACTTGCACAAGGCCTCCTCCTCCACCTCCTCCTCCTCCTCCACCTCCTCCGCCTCCGCCGCCTCCTCCTCCGCCTCCGCCGCCTCCTCCTCCTCCTCCTCATCCGCCTCCGCCGCCGCCTCCTCCTCCTCCTCCGCCTCCTCCTCCTCCTCCTCCTCCTCCTCCTCCCTCGCCTCCTCCTCCTCCCCCTCCTCCTCCTCCGCCTCCGCCTCCGCCTTCGCCTCCGCCTCCGCCTCCTCCTTCGCCTCCTCCTCCTCCTCCTCCTCCTCCTCCTCCTCCTCCTCCTCCTCGTCCCCTGACCTCCAGCGTCGCGAGAAACGCAGCGCGGACATTTTTCTGAGCTTTTGGCCCCTATAATTAGGGTCCTCGCCGGGACCCAGGGCCGTCAAAAAGCACTCAGGATGAAGAGCCGACCCTGGGGAGAAAGTCCAAACCTCCGGGGGCCCGACATCGAGAAAACTTCAAGACAGCGGACGTCCGGAGTCCGGACTCCGAAGCACAGGCCAAACCGCCCGCTTCGTCCAGGTACGATCGTACAGCCCCGCCGTGAGCGGGGCTTCTTGCTGAGTGAGGAAGCACGGTAAGGATGCAAAGGCCTTGGACGCCCATCCCGAAGCTGTTCGAGCGGGGCCTGGCCCACGAAAGTGGCCAAGGATGGACCGAGGAGGCAAGGATGCAAAGGGTTATTACCCTTGGGAAGGTGGCCCAACCCAGACCTGCGACGTCCTGCTCTGTGCAGCACGGCGTCCCCAGAAGCCCAGACCCCTTCCCCCAGGACCGGCTTGTTCTCCAGGGTCGTGTTTGGACGGTCCCCGTTCTGAGGCTGCGCCCCCCTTCTCCTCCCCCTTCTCTGCGTAACTCGAGCTCTGCGCGGCCCGCTTTGCTTCGACCGGAAGAGGTGCGCTCTCGACCCGCGAGTCAAAAAAAGCTTGGACGGCCCCCGGGGTCCGGCGAGGGCCCCCCGGGGGCCGAACACAGCGAAGTGTGGCACGACGCGATCGCGACCTGGAGTCCCTGCATTGCGGCACGGCGCCACCGCGATTTTGAAGGGGCCCTGGGACACTCAAATACATACACACAAATAAAAAGATTCCCCATAGTTTCCTATAGTTTCTTGGTTTTTGCCTTCCCCCCACTTCCCATATTCTCCCTTATTTTTTTTGGGGGGGAATCGACGATGCATTGTGTCTGTGTTTTTGTTTCCCTCCTGAGATTTGCCGTCCTGACCTTCGGCTCGACGCGATCGCGCCCGGAGTCCTAGCTTTAAGTCGGGCCTGTCCCCCGACAGGGCGATTTTCGACGAAAAATAAACAATACCCCAAAACTACACCAAAAATAGTCCAAAAATAGACCGGGGACTATTTTGGGGGTATATTTTGACACCATCTTAGGGTATTTTTCGGGTACGTTTTATGTTTCGTCGAAAATCCCCCTGTAGGGGGACACGCCCGACATAACCCTAGTCATCACCCCCCTCTTTGCCGCCCCCGAGAACACACACACACACACACACACACACACACACACACACACACACACACACACACACACACACACACACACACACACACACACACACACACACACGCACGCGCGCGCGCACGCACGCACGCACGAACGCACGCACGCACGCACGCACGCACGCACGCACGCACGCACGCACGCACGCACGCACGCACGCACGCACGGCACGCACGCACGCACGCACGCACGCACACACCACACACACCACACACACACGGCCCTCCCCCCCCGCTGTTCCCTCCGCGGCGCAGCCCCCCGTCGACATGAGCCACCGCGCAGAGGAGGAGGTGGTAGGAGGAGGAGGGGAGGAAGGGAGAGAGGGGATCGAGGGATACGCGGCGGAGTAGGAGGAGGAGGAGAAGGAGGAGGAGGGAAGCAGGAGGGCAGGAGACAAGGAGCAGGAGGAGGAGGAGTTCTGGACCCCTGGGGGAAGAGGAGTACAGGAAGGAGAGCAGGATGAGAGGAGGAGAGGAGAGAAGGAGGAGGCAGAAGATGGAAGAAGGAGGAGGAGGAGCAGGGAGAGCAGGAGGAGGAGGAGGAAGGAGGAGGAGGAGACGCAGCAGGAGGAGAGGAGGAGGAGGAGGAGGAGGAGGAGGACAGGCCCGACCCAGTCCTCGCTGTGCGAGTGGCCCGTGCCTGCCCGGGGGGGGGGGCGGGCGGAGCCCGCCGGGCCCTCGGGCGGCGGGGGCCGCGCGGGCGGGCCGGCCGGGCCGGGGCGGCCAGGCCGGCCAGCCGGCTCTCGCAGCGCCACGGCAGGCGCAGAGACAGCCTGCAGCGCCGAAGCAGCTGCAGCGCATCGGCACTTCCAGACCCTCTCGAGTCAGGAGAAAATCACGACGGACGGTTTTTCCACATTTTCCGCCTCCGGGGGCCCTTACCGGCCCTTGGGACCGTCAAAAAACAACTCAGGATGAAAAACCGGTCCCGGCGAATAGGTCCGGACCTCTGGGGGTCGCGTCACGAAATATCATGACGTCGGGGGTCTGGGCTGTCTGCACTGCAAGCAAAAACTGTGGCATGGCTTCTGTTTGCATGTTGGCTGCTGCTGCGTATCTTTGGCAGTGCACCGCGTGGCTGCAGCGCACGTGCACTATCTGCGCTGCAGACAGAGATTGTGGCTGCTGCTGCTGCTGCATGTTGGGCTGCTTCTGCAGTTTTGGCAATGCAGCATGTGGCTGTGATGCAACAAAACAAGACTGCCATGCACCAACAGCTGCAACGCATGCACTGCTTGCATTGCAAGCAAAAGCTGTGGCTGCTTCTGTTGCATTTGGGCTGCTTGTGCATCTTTTGGCAATGCGACAGGTGGCTGTGATGCAACAAAGAAAAAAGACTGCCGTGCACCAGCAGCGGTGTTCGTGTCGTCGTCGCCGACATGTGTGCCTCGGCCCTCCGGGAGCCTCCTCGCACCGCGCTTGGCCCTCACGCGGAAGCCTAAGCTCGAGCTCTGGCAGCGCCACTACCGCGCAACAAACCAACTGCAACGCAAAAGCATTGCAGTGAAACGCGGACTGCAAGACAGACAGAACTGCTGTCGCGCGGTGGTCGCCGACATGTGCGCGTCAACCCTCCCTGAACATCCCGAAGCCACGCGTGGCTCTCACGCGGAATTCTAAGCTCAAGCTCGAGGAGCGCCAATACAGCGCAACAAAAAAAAACTGCAATCAGAAAA